AACTTAAAATGACTCAGCTACTGTGCTTTTGTGGCGTTATCTTTGGCATAAGACCAATTTTTGAGAGTTCGTATGTGTTTCCAGAAGGTAGAAGGGTTATTAATAGAGTTTTTCAGTTTGTGTTGTCTATGTCTACGCATATCAAATTTGTATTTCCGATGGAAATATTTAAATTTATTCCTACTTTCGCAATATTTTCGTAGGGCTTTGGGGGCATTAGGTCTTGCAGTTCTACATCCAGTATTAAAAGGTTTATTTTTATCCATGTTCAGTTTTTATTCTTTTCTCATACAAGATACTGAAGTTAACATAATTTGAACAAGGTCATCAATTGTCATCAAGTTTGTTGAGAAGTAACTGTTTAAAAGATGTTATTCTTTCTTGTAGCTTGCTTAGAGAATTGTTCGAAAATTAGTCATTCCATATTAGTTTCTTCTCAGCGACACCCTCATTATTTAATTTGTTATATGTTTTATTTAAATGAGGGGACTTACAAGTCAAGTACAAAGGTAAATTATCAGATTCTAGACGATCGCCAATATGCAACATGTTAATATAATCAAAGAAATCGGGAGAACATATAAGATTATTATTAACGCTAGCACTTTCAATTCCACAATATGTAAATTCTCCAAAGGTATCCCCATACACTCCCTTACTGACAATAAACAACAGGACACATGCACAAACACCACCTGACAGCCTACCGTAGTCAGATAACTTTATTGCTGGACTATTAACCAATTATTGTCATAGCTACAGTCTTCAAATGTTTCCACAAGATATACTTTTTAAAACAAATTAAGTACGATATAAAATCAGCATCATCAATTTTGTTTCGAAGTCCATTAATATTCCAACTGAGAAAGGCAGTGTACCGCTTGGACGATCAGCCCTTAACGTAATACCCGTGTTGGTGGTACTGGGATGTTGTAAAATACACTCGGGGCCTCAGCCAATATCCTTGCTGAAAGAAAAATGTGACAGTTTTTCACAGTAGATGCCAAAAAGTTCCGATTCTAGCTCAGTATCTTGCTAGGTCCTCCAGGTTTTGTTCAGAACTTGTCTTCTGAACTTTTGGTGCTGTTCTCAACCCAGGAATTGTCCGAGCTGCTAATGTGTCCAAGGCCGTAGTCAACTTTTTTTGACAGGTTGGGATGGGGGGCAAATATTTGTACAAGTATCACTTGTCCCCAACTTGTATTTTCATGATTCAAATAAAACTGTTCTATATTTTTAAAAAAAAAAAAGGGGGGGGGGGCTTCGACAGGATGTTATGACAGAGGGTAACATAACTGACAAATTAAAAACCCGCTTTTTTAATTCAAATAATAACTGGGCGACAGCAACATCGCTATATAGGCATCTGGTCAATTGGAAACACGATGACCACAGAAAATAGATAAAAAGATGTAATTCTGAATGGAAAACATATAATCATTCACAACAGTAGGTCCAATGATGCAGTGTTTTTGTCAGTTATTTCTGAATCACATTACCTCCCCTGCGTTTGCAATAGGCAATGGTTACGTTTGTTGCAGTCTGGCAGGTGTCCATATGGGCAGGTCGATAGACTGTTGAAGTGGGGACAATTTGATGCTCCTGTAGTAAATGCTGTATGGGATGGCTGCTCTAATACTCTACTGAACAACAGGAACACATGTTGTTTGTTTGTTTGTTGTTTAACGCCTCACTCAGCAATATTCCAGCTATATGACGGCGGTCTGTAAATAATCGAGTCTGAACCAGACAATCCAGTGATTGACATCATGAGCATCGAACCACACAATTGGGATACAATGATATGCAACAACCAAGTCAGCGAGCCTGACCACCCAATCCCGTTAGGAGCCTCTTACGACAAGCATAGTCGCCTTTTACGGTAAGCATGGGTTGCTGAAGACCTATTCTACCCCGGATTGGAGCACATATTGAAAAAAACTATTAATTGTTCTTCCTGCCATTGTAACGTTCAGTGGAATGCCAGGTACGGACATGTTGTAATATCCATTAACTGCTCTTATATACAGTGTTTTCGTCAGTCATGTCTGGTGATGTTTGACAACAATACCTCCCCTGCGTTTGCAGGAGCTATTGCAATTGGTAACGGTCATGTCGAGTGAAAACGTTTGGGTGGAATGGGTGCAGTAATACTCTATCGGACAACAGGACCACATACCGAAAAACAATTGCTACCAATGTAACGTTTTGTGGAATGCCAGGTACGAACAATACTTGGTCTATAAACTTCTCTTACATACAAGTAGGTGTGAATGTGGTCTTTCAACCTGCACCGGGCCATGGCATTTATATAAAAGAAGGTCCTCTGCAATTTCTTCAGACAGCTACAATTTGTCAATATATCTCGGTGCATTGACAAGTCGAATTCCAAGTGTATGTTGCGTTACAGGCTGTGCTACAGTTAAAAAACGGGCCAAACAGCCACTTCTCAAGTAATACAAGTTATCTAACACCTATATACTACATCGGCTGACACTATAATGCACGAACAGGTTTCATCTGAGCACCGCAAGTCAATTTCACAATCCAACATTTTCAATAAAACAATTGCAAATGGCGGCCGTCATCTTCAGTACCCCATACCGCTGCTAACAACGGCCAATTTCACTACTGATTTAAAGTTTTAATACTGTTTAATGGGCTAATTGTGATCGTAAATACCTTGAATGTGAAGCCATCGTGGAAGAAGAAACACTTGGAAAGATACAGTGGTAAGCGAAACGTGGAGATCAGCGGAGCAAAAGCGATCGTTTTTTTCTGTTAAACGCAGAAGGGAACGTCGGTAACGGCAAAAGTAACTACGTTACGGAGTTAGAGGGCTCAGAACGAGGCGCCATCGCCAGCTACAGTCGTGGTCAAGACAAATGACATAGAAGAGGGTGAAAACAACCGGATTTATTTCGGCTAAACACTGTGCACAGATTTAAGTTTAAACTTTGAACTGAAACATTTAAGTATAAATCAATTTCAAGTTTATTAGAATTGTTTGGGTAAAACTGCGACGTTTTTTGTGCCTCCTTTACTAGGAACGTGTTGAATTTTGTCCACTCTTATACGAGTCATCAGTGGTAGACATGCATTAACCTTACACTTTTGCCGAATATCGATACCACGTAAGGACCCCCTAACATCTGAAATTGTAATAGCCTTCAGGATACCTTTTACATTCGACAAAGTGACTCGGGATTGCGGGATAGCTTGTACGAATGCCCATCTCTGATAAACCAAGTGGGTTTTGGGAATTATTCCCTAGTCTACAGCTGATAAAATATTGAAAATTAAACGGTATATACCAGCGTGTGCAGCGACCGGTCTTATTTGGTTTGATTTCCCTTTTGGAAATACGATGACCACAGAAAATAGCTAAAAATAGGTAATTCTAAATGGAAAGTATATTATCATTCACCACAATAGGTCTAATGATGCAGTGTTTTCATCAGTCATGTCTGGTGATGTTTGACCACATAACCCCCCCTGCGTTTGCAGAAGGCAATGGTAACGCGTCTTGTCGAGTGAAAACGTTTGGGTGAAATGGGTGCAGTAATACTCTATCGGACAACAGGACCACATTATGAAAAACAATTGCTGCCAAAGTAACGTTTTGTGGAATGCCAGATACGAACATTACTTGATCTATTAACTGCTCTTACACACAAGTAGGTGTGAATATAGTCTTTCAACCTGCACCGGGCCATGGCCTTTATATAAAAGCAGGTCCTCTGCAATTTCTTTAGGTCACGGGCGAAAGGACAAGCAGTGAAGTATATTGAAAGCATCTTCTCTGTTCATATTGAAGAGACGATTCAATCTCATTAAAATTAGATCTTAGTTCTCGCCACCGCTCAACAAAGTTTTTAGCGGTTGCGAGAACGAAGGTCTGATTGTAATGAGATTGGAGACGATACTATCGCGATGTTACCGAGAGTGTAACGAAGGTGTCACGCGCTGGGAAGGAGCTTGGAAGGGAGCGAAGGGAGACCACTCTCAATCTCATGTCCGTCTACCTGTATGAGGGGGTGAAGCGCTCGTAATATGTCACATGTGTCGACACTTTTGTTTTAAAGAAGAAACGCCATTCATTCACACTCATTTAAAATGTAGTCACAATTATTGTTACATGAGAAACGATTAGCTATTTTACTGGAATATAAATATCTTCTAGATGACAAAGTGTCCAAGGGAACTTACCTCAGAGAAAGCCTTGTAACACATGTCGCCACATAAAGAAGTGTCGAATCTTTGAGGCAAGTGTATGGAAGTCTGCCAAGTACTGCTCATAGCAGCAACAGCACACAGCAACATAGGCATTGTTTAACAACATCAACAATGCCTAATGTTCAGAAGCCTTGGGATTTGACCAGATGTCTTCACAGCGACGCTTCTATCGCCCAGTTATTATTCGCTGAAGAACCAGAAAACAGTGAAAACAGACTAACAGTTATTCACATGACTCTCTCTCTCTCTCTCTCTCTCTCTCTCTCTCTCTCTCTCTCTCTGGGAGTGGGACATGAAGTTTGGCATTCGTAACCATATGCATGCGTATGCTGTAAACATTTAAAAAACAACAGCAATCATCATCACTTTCTTTTGCTGTAGCTTGAACAATTTCACGATGTTGTAAAGGATATTAAACCAGAATATAACGATTTCAAACGTGCCTGTTTCCATTTTGACAGCGGCATTTCAACTACATGAGCCGTTAACAAATTGTTTCAACTGACCATAAGAAGACATTCCCAGACATGAATATCATTCTATTCAGTCAGAGAACTATTTTTGTGTAGAGAAGTTACAAAATAGTTTGTAGTACTCTTACAAAGGCATGTATGGAGCAAAGTAGAATAATATAAATGAAAACGATCCATTCATGTAAATGGATACAAATATCGTTGAAACACCATGACCGACTGTAGATGGCAAAGGCTGCGCATCGCTGTCCGTCATTTTCAGGTGCAACTGTACCTAGCCGGAAGCGGAAGTACATCCAGTAAACATCAACACATGGGTTTGTTCAGCGTTAAATCAGGCAATTTATCCTGATAATTGGAATTATTGATCCCCTGAAACCACGTGAATGCGTTGATATATAAATGTTCACGATTACTGATACACTAATTTGCCTGATATCAGCTGTAGCATTTGTAAATCTACTGAGAATGGCGACACCCGGACAGCCGGGCGACTGGTCCGGGCAGCAGATACGAAATCCTCTCATGAGAAATATTTATTATCGTATGATAGAAGATCAACGACATAGGGAGGACACGCATAGCTATGTGAGTTGACACAATCAGTTGTTAATGGTAGCGTGGATTAGTTCTCCTGAAATATATTTGACACATGCCTTTGTTTATGAGTCTGATCACAAAATATAGTGGCCAGTTCTGCTTTCTATTCATGCAACTAATTTTATTCACAGTGTGCGTTCATGTAAGATGTTTTGCATCAACTGAAGGTATCCATCACTGACAACAATAATTGGAAATACAAACTGACTACAGATAAAATGCACTTGACATAGTAAATGAGGATGAGCAGTCCATGTTTGCGCTTCCCTCTGTAAATGTATATCTACTGATCACAAGGGAGGGTTATCAATTCTTGAGTTTGAGCTAATAAAAGACAGAAAGAATATGAAACTGATAGCTCTCAACAAAAATGTTAATGGACTTTTTTCCCTTAAGAAGAAAGGTAATCAGAAAATATGACTAAGAAAACAGAACCTTATTATTATATATATAATAATGATAAAAATTATCCATGTAGAATCTAGTAGTATTTATGCTTTATTCATTGGTAACTTTGCGTCAGCATCTGTGAGACATGCCAATCTCTAAGGCCTTGCCAAATGTATAAAATCTCGCCCTGCGTGGCGCAGTCGGCCTCCTAGATCAGCCTGATCTGCAGGGGAAGAAGACTGGCCTTTTGGAACAGCTAGTGCATCAACCTATAGATATCTAGGGACTGTTCTCCCACCTTGATGTTGATTGGTATGTTCCAACTTTACTGTAATAAAAACGTCGCTATAGAAATGCAATAATCTTGGACATGATGTTAAACCCCATTTCACCTCACCTCCTACTGTAATAAAAGAAAGAAAAGGGTTAGAAATATAAATATATTAACATTATGTCACCACAATCATCCTTTTATTATTATTATTATTATTATTATTACCTTTAACAAAATGGTTGGTACGCACATCTTCAACAATGATAGGACCTTGCCTGTTCCTTTACCTGAAACATAAGAAAATCAATTGCTCCATTACAAATCACAGTTAACGTGTAACTGTACTTGTAACAACACTAATACTTAATTACCAAGTACATTGACACTCATTAGTTGTAACAACAATATAATTAGTAGCACAATACCTCAACTTGCACTCTAATCGCATCATTTATGGGGGTACCGATGCATCTTGAACAATGGAAGGGTAAATCTCCTTCATTCCTGCAAATTTCTTTATACCTAGCTATAGATAGTCCAGTACCACAGACACAATGTGTGCACTGGACACATTCATCACAGGATACAGCATGTTGACTTTTCCTCTCATGCATCTTAAGCATGTTAAATACAGTTTCACCTTGACACTGAATTAGACTGAGTAAAAGTACTTAAACCTTCAAGGAATGTAATGTTTTCACAATAACTTTAGTTGTGCCTCTGAGCAAGTAAATTCGAGTCGAGGCTAAAACTGTAAACATGTTTTCAGGCGATTAACATACAGATATTTGTGTTTGCATGTGAACCTGTGAGTTTCATTTCCTTTATTGCTTGTTTTTAAAAAGCAAAGGATAAAAATAAGACTGTTTGCTCATAACCATAGTAGCCATTTTCACTTTGTGCAAAGTCCTGTTTTTGCCAATCAATGATGTTTTTGTGTGGTGTTTTTTGCTGAACATGCTGAGGTGACATTTTAGCATTAGCCTGTTGCAATCTTATTCTTAAAAAGGTCCTGCCAATGCCGTGATAGTATGTTGTGAGTGAGCTATTTCAACCTATTCAGTTAGTGTATATATTCTAGGGGAAAATGAGTTTGATTTGACATGTTTGAGGAAATGTTCAGTACATGTAATTGAATATTGTTAAATACCTAACCAACAACTTTCCATCTCTGCTTGGCTGTTTGTCCTGTTAATAGAGAGAAGAGTGGGTTCTTTTAGCATGTTAATGTAGTATTATATCATCATTTGATCAACCATGCTTCCAGTGGTACGAGTTTGATGTATCTGCACTGCCAGAAGATCTACGTGAAAAGTTCATCGGATTCCATCAGGATCTGGAGACAACACAGTTCCTGGAGTCATGTTACGAGAAGGCAGACTGGATATTCACACAACTAAGACATTCACTACTTCGATACATCCTCAGCTGGTTCATGACAAGCACCTCAATTAATGGGTATGTTGAGTTCCTGATCATGCGGATCAACACAGAACATCTTTACAATGTTCTGTCACTAGATGTATATGCCATTTGTACTCATTACAGCCCGTAAATGTATCTTTTATTAAAAATATCTACTTTATCTGTGTTCAGAACAATTGCACCAGTCAATGCTGTGATGTAGAGTGGTCGGTCTGTTTAAAAGCCGACTTGTAAACAGGTTCTGATTTTTATGTTTGACATCATTTCCAATAAAATTACAAAAGATGCTTTGACCTTGTGACTATCAGTCATTATGTGTCCAGTGATTCGTCACATCCACCTTTGTTTGTGAAACATGGTGTCAGATGATGTGCACTATCTAATCTACTATCTCCTGGTAAGAGATGTGGAGATCTAGTGTATAAAACACAATGGCAACTTTCAGTCCTTTGATATGACCATGGTGACATGATATAACTTAAACAGTAACAATAAACTTGGTGTTTATTAAGGATGTTAGTCATGTTGAAATGTAGACTTTAAATTCATTAATTAATTTCCCAGTATATTTATTATCTGCTTCCAAAACCGTGTGTTTGTCCTTGACACACATCATGTGTACTGAAAAGAATGTATTGTTACCGCATCATGTAGCTAAGTATAGTTCAACATTGAACACAGGTGGCTCTGTTGTATTAGTACGAGGACACAGAAACTGGATGACCACTTGTGTATGTTTCAGATGGTTGAAGCGAGGATCCATGTTCATCTTCTCAAGGAGTCAGCTGGACGCTCTCCTGGACATTCCGACAGGCTGGCATTGGCAGGCAGAAAATATGCTGGATCTTGGTAGGCTACATTCTGTCTCATATTTCTGGGGTCCTGTCTACCTAGAGGAGACACAATGGCAACCTAGAGTAGACAGGGTGGCCAACTCCCCCTGCAATTGGATGACACTAAACTTGGAATTCATTGGTCTAGTGTATGCAAAGAACATGATGAAGTCAAATAGCAGACTACATGAACTCTCTTGTGAAAGAGACAGAGTTTCTGCTGATTATACAGATCAGCTATTGTTTTTTCTTATGAACCCAATCTTCTACGTATGGATGCCGTTTTAACAATTGTTTGGATATTCAAAATTAAACACAATCAGTAGCTTTTCAGTTTGCAGATTTATCTCTTTGACCAATTGTGAAGGTAACCAGTGGTGATTGGTAAGACAATAGGGGATTAAGGGGGGTATCTCACATAACATAATGACACAACTAATAGGTGATCTATATTCACATACACTGTACTTAGTGAAAGCTTTTAAAATAAAAATCAATGCGTGAGTGAAAATATTAATCATTTAGTATGATTTGGGCTCTAAAAGGAATTACAGACAAGAAACATTTTATCACTGTGGCAAATGGGCAGTTTATTCTCAATTCTAAGTGAGGTTGACACTTGATTTAAAAAAAAATACAAGTTCATGATGCAATAATTAAATTTTTGTTGTTCATTGTAATTCCTGCATTCTGATTAGCTGTGTAATAGGCGCCCTCTAGCGGGCTGCCCAGTGACAGGATTGCAATCGGAGAGTACTAAGTTCGAACCCTGTTCACATAATTTGGGACTTTGTGTTGTGTTCTACTGTGATCAGTCATGAACAGTGTACTCTCTCGAGGTTCTATGGTCTATTGGTCACATGTTTTTGCATTCATTTCCCAATGAATGTACAAAATTAAGCCCTGCCCACTGTGACGTGTCATGTCATGTGCATAAATTAAACAATCATCTGATTCATGTCACGCCTTAGTATGTATTCCTACACCTGGAATGCACATAGATTCAATCTCATCATTTTGTCTGCTTTGATAAATAAAACTGTATTTGGTATTGTAGATAAAACATGTTTTCTTTTTCAAATTTTATTATAGGGATTGACTGGGAATTTTGGGGGGGGGTCATTGAGGTATGAATCGAAAAAACGATGTGCAAACTTTTGTAAGAATCCGCTAGACTGTTGATCTGTGAATTATGTAAATTTGTGATGCAACCCATTATCCTGTACAGTATTTGATATGACACAGAATGCCCAGCTTAAACAAACACGATGGGGATTATCCCCTGGCATGGTGCTGGACAAGTAAGAAGTCACTGTTCACGGCACCTAACAGGATGTTAGTACTAAAATGCTAGTTACAAATACCTTTAGGACACACCCCAATATATGTTTGTTTTGGAGGGTGATTACAGAGTGTTCAGCACTTGCACTGGGACATTTAAATACTTTCTAATGTTACGTACACGTTACGTCTGCGACTGTTTATCCTATTGGCTAAAAGCAGTGATCTTTCTGTGTGAACAGAATGTGGAACCAGTTTATCATGTCTCTATATGTTCTTGCATGATACCAACACTTGAATTAAACTTCATTGTTTTCAAACTACACCTGTCATCGTGTAGACACTTGTAAGAGGCAATCATAATAGTTTTGTAGATTGTACAGATTCGCTGTCTTGGTTGATGCAAGTCATCATATCCCAAGTGCGTGGATCAATGCTCATGATGTCAATCACTGGATTTGTTTGGTCACGACTCAAATATTTACAGACCACCATCCTATAGCAGGATTATTGCTGACTGCTACGTTAAACAACAAACAAATCTTTGTCATATTTTAAACCCCTTAATGGAAGTGTTCTTAAAGCGGGAAAATCATTTATTATAAATGTTGATTTGTTACCATGGTTACAGTCGAGTCATTTGTTCTCAGGTGCTGGAGATGGAATGGTGACTAGTCAGCTGGCAAGGTACTTCGACAATGTATATGCAACAGAGATATCGGAAATCATGGTGAAGAGACTGCAGGAAAGAGGCTACAGGTAATAATGGGGGGGAAGTGGCAATAAAACCACTCTCATGGCCACTGTTGTTGACTTGGTAACATTTGAATTAATTTGGTTTCAGAGTTGGGTTACATGAGATTAAACTTTATTGTTAAGGCCTTACTTTATTATCTAATGATTATTTAAAAATGCAATACTCTTTTCATTCTGAGAAACTGTCAAATATGTAGACACTAAAAAATGACAATTATTCCTGTGTTTTTTTTTATCTGAATGTCAGATAGCAAGTTTTGGTATTTAACATGTTTAACGCCACTGTTAAAGGAATATGTTACAGTTATATTTTTCTCTCTAATGATAGCAAAGCAAATGATTAGTCTGTAACCTGATCATGTTCATTGATAAATGATATTGAAGTTCAAACACTGGTGTGTGGATATGAATGTTTTAAATATTTGAATGTGGAACTTTTCTGACCATGAAAATTCAAATAAATAATAAACCTACTGTCACTTTTTCCTATGGAATTGTAGGTACGTATACTGTAAATCTTAAAATCAATGAAAAAATGTGAATATCCCCTGCTCACATTAATAGAGACACAAATGTATCTGGACACATTGGAGTATGGTGTCATGTCAGCGGACACAATGACATACATAACAAAACTCCAATAAACAATGTAGTTGTGTGCTAGATTTAGACAGTCCTTCTCATCAAGTTCTGCGCCTTGTTCACACAAGCTGTTGAAGCAGTTATGACAATTGCCATGTGTGTAAGATAGTGTCTTAAAATAATCATATAATTATATGTATAACACTGCTTCCCACATAATGAACATGTCCAGTACAGCAACAGCCATGGTGGTGAATACATAACACTGGTCATGTACGTTCAAAGGATTGCACTAACTCATGTTACACTTGGAACCTGTACTACCGTCATAGTGATCCATTTGAATTCAGGGCAACTTCTTTACTGTCTGTAGGGACATTTCAGGGCAACTTCTTTACTGTTTGTAAGGAATTTCAGGGCAACTTTTCTACTGTTGTAAGGACGTTTCAGGGCAACTTCTTTACTGTTTGTAGGGACATTTCAGGGCAACTTCTTTACTGTTTGTAAGGAATTTCAGGGCAACTTTTCTACTGTTGTAAGGACGTTTTATGGCAACTTCTTTACTGTTTGTAGGGACATTTCAGGGCAACTTCTTTACTGTTTGTACCAATGTTGCAGGACAACTTCTTTACTGTTGTAAGGACATTTACGGGCCACTTCTTTATTGTTTGTAAGGAAATTCAGGGCAACTTTTTTACTGTGGTAAGGATGTTTCATGGCAACTTCTTTACTGTTTGTAGGGACATTGTTTCAGGGCAACTTCTCTACTGTTTGTATCAAATTTCTTTCCCCATTTATCTGATGAAGATGCAAAAGTAGCCCTGAAAATTTGGTACAAACAATAAAGGATTTTCATTGTTACCTATAAGAAATTTATGTCTTCAACTTCGGATTGGTTGATACTTGAAGATTTGTGATTGCAGGGTATTGGGCATCAGTGAATGGAGTGATGGGACACGTGTGTACGACATCATTAGCTGTCTGAATCTGCTGGACAGATGTGATCGACCAATCAGCATTCTTCATTCCATCCGCCAGTCATTACGAAGAGGGAGTGGACGGGCCATTGTGGCAGTAGTGCTTCCATTTAAACCTTATGTAGAATTTGGTAGGTGAATTTGTCAGCAGTACCTTCTACAAACTACAAGAAAATAGACATAAGAGTACATATTCATTCATTTTTCACCCTCGATACCAAGGCAAATTCTTTGCTATTTACAGCCTGTATTAAAGGGCAAGTTAAGTGAAAAAAAATGATTGTGATTTTGTTGTGAATATCAATTTTCCTAGATACATTTAGGCAATGTCAGAGAGAGAAACCTTCATAACACTCATGGAAAGTATTTAAATGTCCAAAGTGAAATTGCTGAAGTCTCATGCTGTCATTGGCTTCAAAAACAAACCTATTAAGGGTTGTGGCCTAAAGCTTCAGGCATAGCAGTAACAACTGTTAATCCATCAAAAATAACAACAGTGCATACACTGTTGAATGTGTGAAACAACCTTTGATCTTGACATTGTTAAAAATTAAAGTAACAAATAAACAATTTGTAACTAGCGTTTTATTACATACATCCGGTAATAAACCACCAGCTGTCCTCGTCCCACCGAGAACCCTTTTTAACCCAACTAAGGGGGTTCCCCTTATTGGTGGAATTTTTCTTGGGGTTACGATTTCGCCTGTTACTCACCTTGTCTGTCCGTCCATCTATCCATAATTTTTCGTTTCTGAAGCATAACTAGAAAACCGTTAAATATTTTTCACCAAAATTTAGCAGATATATCAAACAGGTCCTGAAGTAGTGCCTTTTGCTATTTATTGATTTTTGGCATTTCTTTTCTCTATTTCCATAGAAACAATTTGTACTTATTCTCATAAGGGGGTGGATTTGTTTCCAGAGCACAACCTAAAATAATTTCAATATCTTCCAACAAAACTTGGCAGATATATCACACTGATGCTAAAGTGGTGCCTTTTGCTAATTGCGGATTTTGGGCACATTTTTTTCTGTGATGAGGTGAGGTTAAAATTGGGTTTAATGTCGCCTCCAAGATTATTACACTTATATAGTGACGTGCATGCACGCAGGTCTCAAAGTTGCGACTTAAACGGTCGCCAAATGGACCTTAATTTCAATTTGTCTACTGTCTAAAACTCAGAGGTAGCCAAATGACTACCATGAAAATATCTTGTGGCGACTATATTCTATTGCCACACATTTGAAGACACAAAAATAAATAACAGCTGATTGTGGAAAACATGTTTGCTAATAATTGTACTTGCATATAAGTCCTCCTAAAGTCAACAATGAACAGAAATTCAAAAGTATTAATGTAATTAGTATTTTATTTCAGTTGATAATGCTCATTGGATAAGCAAGGATAAACCTAAATAATCTATTAGCATAAACTGCATCATTGTTTGAGTCACAAATAACAAAAATCAAGTACAGTTTCCACTAATATACAATTTCAAGACTAGTTCCATGACTTGTACATATTATGATAATTATTTGATAAAAAATTATTTGATAAAAGATAATTTCAAATGCCTTTGGCTACCTACAATATTGTGTGTGTGTGTGTGTGTGTGTGTGTGTGTGTGTGTGTGTGTGTGTGTGTGTGTGTGTGTGTGTGTGTGTGTGTGTGTGTTTGTGTCTGCTTGTGTCTGCTTGTACTAGTCCGGACTGATGCCAATTTATAATGCTAGCTCACTAGCTGCAGTTTAACATGAATACCCCACTCAGACACAGTATACTCCAAGTCGACCAGTCCTTGTTTTATCCCCTTCATGCCAAGCACCAGACAGGGTAACAACAATTACCATCTTTTAACCTCTTTTGGAATGACACGGCCAGGGATCGAAACCCCGGCAATTTCAGGAGTGCCCAAGGGACACAGGTCTGCACAGCAAATTGCAGCACCTCAGGTGACGGGGTCACCAGTGCCACCTGATTGTGGTTGACCTGGGCTGATGTTAAGTGCAATGGCAAGAAGGAGCAATAACTTTTTATAGCTTATATGAAATTCTTCTTCAGGTGTCAGTGTATTGTTTCATTTTACAACTATTAACTGATTTTCTAAATCATTGCTTTTTACAATTCCTGTACAAATTGTGTTACTTTGTCTTTGGATCTCATATTCAAGTGACATTTATTAACATGAATATTTTCATCTGTGTGAAGGTTCAACAGACCATCAGCCCACAGAGTGCCTCCATATAGAAGGGAAAACATTCGAGGAGCAGACGGTCAGCCTCATCAGACATGTTTTTACACCAGCAGGGTTTACTGTGGAGAAATTTTCCAAACTCCCATATTTGTGTGAGGGAGATATTAATAAATCCTTCTTTGTATTATATGATGCTGTGTTTGTGCTCCGGCCCACTGATGTATGATAGCAGGTGTGCCCCATGTGTGTTAGTAGGTGTCCTGTTTGATCAGGGTTTGGAATGCAAGCTTTAGACACCTTCTCAAGGCTTGGAGATTTACATTCCTTTAGAGTTTCATGAGAATATGATCTTGTTCTCTGACTTGTCTCTCTCACTCTGATGTCTCCTCCAATGAAGGCATTGGCACATCTAGACAGAGAGAGGTTGGAGTGTCACTGGAGTGACAGTTCTGATGTTCTTGTAGTGTTCAGTGTTACCTCCCTTTGTTGTCTGCTCTGTGCTTACATAAACCGGTTACACTATTGGTTCTCGCAGCAAGCTTAGCACTTTAAGCCAAAAGGTGGCAGCTAAAAATTGTGGTACTGATCTGTACCATATATCCAGTTATATGAGCAAATGTGCAGCATTTATAATTACAACTGGGTATTATAATTGGAGACATGCCCACATCAACAATATGTTTTGGGTAGTAAAAGTTTTTACAAACAACTCTGTTGGCGTTATTGTTCATGAGAAAATGTTTTTACTTCACAACAAATTTCGCATAGTCTGTGATTTGTTTTCATTCAACACTGAGGGCCAATGAATGTTATGTTTTGTGTGATCCAATCACCCCTGCCATCTGCTTACTCGCTAATAGGTAGACCGGAGCCCAGTCGGTCAGTTCATTTGGAGGAGTGGATCGGTAGCTCTTATGTAGGACTGCTACACTTGCATGGTCTTGCACTGAGGCACAAATCAGAAGCGTGCTGGAACTGAGCGGCCCAGTGGGAGGGAATGAAATACCCTGGCCTTGGGAAGATGATCTGTTTGAAGGTTAAGGCTTTATACATAGTGTGTGTGAATGTATATCAGAAGTAATGCAACAACTTCTGTGTGCCATAGGTTACCTGTCAATGCCCCATGTACATATCGTGTTCAGATGTTTGAGGGAGGAACATTCTGTCCAGAACTTTTAATTAACCAAATTAGGTGAATATGTAAATATGTTGGTTTGGAAGAAATAAATGTCAGTGTATTTAATACCCTAGTGCCACTTTGGCACTGTTTATCAACCGCCACTTTGTGTGAGCAAGCCCGGTCTTGAAAGTATGGACGCTATTTTAAAACAATCTTGACAAAGATGGATGGGGAAAGGTGTTGTGTTTGATCTGATGTTGTACTGGTTGACATAATATTCAGTGAAGGGTCCAATCTGTCACTGCATTTGAAACTGTTTGAAACTGATTGCACGGAAGTGTGTTTTGAATCCGATCTTGGTAAAGTCCAATCTTTTACTCCGATACGCTCAATCTAAATGATGGATGCATTGGTGAGCCAATCAGATGTCAGCTTCCTTACCAGCTAATTTCAATTAAATTAGTTTTAACAAAATAAAATCCACACAGAACACAAGCATTCCTTGGATGGGACTTTTTGTTGTGTGTCGATGCCATAGTGCCAATCTCATTCAAATCAGATCTAAGTTCTTGCTGCTGCAAAACAAAGATCTGAGGACATCCCATTACGGGTCACATCAGAACGACCTTCGTGAACTTTGACCGACCACTGACATGACTAATAAGAAGTCGACATCAGCCAATGAGAAAGCAGCTTTCTCGAGATTTACAGCACTCATTTCAACCTGACGACTTCAATTTCAGACTACGCTGGAAAAATATGTTGACACAGTTCTCGATTAAAAGTTTGAAAACTGAACAAATGAACATTCTTGAATGTCTAATATATGGTTGAGATTTTATGGCAGTGCTTCCCACGTACTTTGCAACGCCCCCTCCGTTCAAATGTTTATTCCACGGAAGTGTGAGATAGACGATAATTTTGATGGAATCTGATGGAATACTCCGTGTTAACGTTTTCGAGGTTGCATGATTAAAAAACACATTCCGACTGTCACTTTCATGATCTGGTAAGCGACGCTTTGATTGGTCGGATGAAAGGTCGCTCTGATGTGACCCTTAATGGGATGTCCTCAGATCTTTGTTTAGCAATAGATCTGATTTTAATGAAATTGCCATAGTGCAGGACAGGGTGAATAACATAACTGCAGCAGTGTCGTGGTATTTTCTTTGTATATTCGGAACACTGAAATCATGTATGCAGGTTTGAATGCTTCCCTCACTCGTATCTAGGATTTCGAAGCCATGATGCTGATTGGCTGACTAGAAAGTGCATGTGAAGCAATCTACTACAGAGTGGTTGTCAGATGTTCATGGAGAGAGATTTCATATCAGTGTAAATGATCTGCTTTTTCTGAGAGTGTGTTTTTATCCACCTGTCTTGTTGTAGGGGCAGAAATAGTGGTCTAAACTTCATGTGTGGTCCTGTACATCATTATTCATGGATGTGGGAACTACAGGTTAGAATATAGTCCTCAGAAATCTATGCTGGTTAGATGTGGCGACTTAATGGATCTGGTGGTGGGACTCGGCGACTTGGTTGAAGCGTCTCTTCATACATGGGTTGTTGCTCATGCTATCAATCATGACTTGATTGTTTACAGGCCGCCATCATGTAGCTGGAATATTGCTGAGCATGGCATGGCGTCAAACAACATGGGTGGTCCCTTACCATGCTTACATCATTAGTCTGTTGTGAACTTGTGCTAGCACCATACTCTCACGTGGCTTGGCTTTGTTCAGACAGTTGGTACCACTAAAAATAGGAACATTCTTTCAGTGATGAAATTATGACTGAATTGTGTTGTTGAAAGTTTTGTTGATTAGTATTTTATGCACAAATATTATCACATTATTATACCCCTGACCTAAAAGACCCGTCCATCCGTCCGTTTTTCCAAGGACATTTTTGCGTGCGACCTATAACTTGAAAACTACTGCGTAGATTCTTTTCAAACTTGGTAAACACTTTCTATACCAATAGGAGGGGTGGAGTGCAAACTTTGATTTCAATATTTCAGTGTTATTTCTGACAAAATGGAGCTATTTTTATTCTTTTTTTTTACTTAAACATTTGTGCGACCTATAACTGGAAAATTACTGTGTGGATATTTTTTTAATTTATCAAAGTTTCCATACTAATAGAAGAGGTGCAATGCAGAGTTTGATTTTAATATGTGGATTTTCTTAGAGAATATGATTTGTTTTGTGTTTTGAACATAGAATATTGTGATTTTCTTTAACATTTGTGCAACCTTTAACTTGATGGACTCTTTTCAAATAGGGGGTGTTGTTTCTGTACCAACAGGAGAGGTGCATCTCAAAGTCTGATTTCGATAGTGGGTTTCCTGTGAAAAGATTGCTTTTTTCATGTTTTGAATATGTTAGAGTCGAGTAGGGGTATCAGTGAGCATTGCTCACTTTTAGCCTTGTTAATTAGCCTTATTAATCAGTGGAGCTTGTTCTATGGCATCCATCATCAATACTGTCATCACAAATTTATTGTTTCTCCATGATTGAGACCAATTTCAACTTGGGTTGGGTTAAGTATAAGAGCACAGGCTACAACACACCCTGCAGTTAGTCAAACATTAATACAAACATGGACGTGAACATCATCTGGGTATATTGGCCACATGTGGATAGAAAGTGGCCAGTTTTCCTTTTTATCTCACCTGACTGAAAATCAAGGGGGCTGATATCGTGGCCTACATGTCTGTCATCAGTTGTAAACATCTTCTAAAAAACACAATGGACACTTGAAACTGAAGTTTGTTTTGACCAATGTTGACACCACAATATGTTCAAGATGTCCATTTTTCAATACAGCCACCATGGTAGTATATTTTGATCTGTATATTTCATTAACTCCTCAGAAATGGCCAGATAATGCCTTCATTTTCCGGTGTCATGATAAATACCCTGGACCCATTCGGCACCAAAGCTTTGTGTTGACACCTGTTGAACTGACTCAGTCCCGTGAGATTCCGGGGTAAAATAGGTCTTCAGCAACCCGTGCTTGCCGTAAAAGGCAACTATGCTTGTCATATGAGGCGACTAACGAGATCCGGTGGTCAGGCTCGCTGACTTAGTTGATGCATGTCATCGTATCCCAATTGCGTGGATCGACGCTCATGATGTCAATCACTTGATTGTCTGGTCCAGACTCGATTATTTACTGACTGCCGACCTCTCATTAAGAAGAGTCAATTTGATTGGTTTTTGAGTTCAAGCTCATCAGCAACATTAGTAATGTGGGAGATGGAGATTGTGAGGTCACTTCCGAAACCAAACTTTGGTGGCATATGGGGTATGTCTATCAGAATGAAATGGATATGTATTACTAGGGATTGGTAATAGAGGTTTAAAGTATCACAATATTTTGCAATGCACAAGGCCGTATTGCGATACGAACCACGATATCTTGGATAATTCTATATTTTTAATTCAGAAGCAATCTTATACATTACGGAGTGATCTGAAGTTTATAAATGGAACAAAATAAGATGCTGGTACAACATAATGTTTTCTCATACAATAAATACGCAGCCATCTAGGGGCCCCAGATGCTCGCTCCTGGGCAGCCAAGGCATTTGGCAAGTATATAACATTAAACACATGACAAAAATCCAAATTGGAAATCACCCGATATATCAAGCATGAAAAAGTATATTATGATATGTATCGTGGAAAGAATGAACCTCAATTTACCGATATACTAGTAATACCTCCCATCCTGTATTACTACACTGGATAATGGGGGATGGGTCACACTGAGTAAATGGAACTTTGGCATGTATGTGTCTTCTTTTAATGACATCGTGTTTTGTTCAGATCATTAGAATGTCAGTGTTAGTTGTTGGTCCTTGGTGTTTATGCACGAACTATCAATGCTGACATCAACTTTGTTAAGTGGCTTTGTTGACATATAAACTGTTGAGTACATATCCAGGTGAACTACAGTGCAGTGACACTATGTTTTTATAATATATTGTGTGTGCAATGGGAAAGTGTCACTTTCAATCAGATGCGGTTACTATGTTATGTTTAGCTTTGATTTCTTATTAAATCTGTAAGTGCTTCTGTTTTGCTTGAGTTGGTGTTGACCATCTGGTATTTACACATTGTAGATGCCTTGGGTTGCAGGTCTGAGGCTTGCATGTCTTTAGCTCACGGCTCCTTGGTATGCATAGTACCTATTGCTCTTGCTAATATGTTCTCATATTGAGGATGAATGACAACAACACAATTTCTACTGAACTTTTACCAAGGATTGATATGAATTAATGCTTTATGTTCATCAGCCTTGTAATTTGACCAGATGCCTATGAAGCGATGCTGATGTTGCCCAGTTAGTATCTGCTGTAAGGAAAAAACACAGTAGTGAAAACAGTTAACTTGTGAATACACTGAAAGTAATATGACTCAAAATGGTGTGAAAAGTAGCTTCTTGTGCACTTATTACTAGCTATCAATACATGAAAATGAGCCAATAGCTTTGCCAGAACGTAACTGAAAGTTGGGCCAAAACTCTGTACCTACAAATATGCAAAAATGTGAAAAGAGTAGGAATATGGAAGTACCCTTCTCCACCTTCCCTTCCCCATCCTAGTCCTTCTTTTGTTTGTTGTGTAACGCACACTCAGCAATATTCCAGCTTTATAGACCTCCAGTGACGTCATATTGTTTTTTACACGTTTTTCTCCTTTGAGCAAGTATTTGGACTTGATCAACATGACTTTGAATATACAAAGGGAGGTAAGACCTGCTTTGAGGTTTTACTTCTTTCAAGACAGACCTAAGGGTTTTACTTTGAATCATAACGATGACCTGCTTTGAGGTTTTACTTCTTTCAAGACAGACCTAAGGGTTTTACTTTGAATCATAACGATGACCTGCTTTGAGGTTTTACTTCTTTCAAGACAGACCTAAGGGTTTTACTTTGAATCATAACGATGACCTGCTTTGAGGTTTTACTTCTTTCAAGACAGACCTAAGGGTTTTACTTTGAATCATAACGATGACCTGCTTTGAGGTTTTACTTCTTTCCAGACAGACCTAAGGGTTTTACTTTGAATCATAACGATGACTTGCTTTGAGGTTTTACTCCTTTCAAGACAGACCTAAGGGTTTTACTTTGAATCATTACGATGACCTGCTTTGAGGTTTTACTCCTTTCAAGACAGACCTAAGGGTTTTACTTTGAATCATTACGATGACCTGCTTTGAGGTTTTACTTCTTTCAAGACAGACCTAAGGGTTTTACATTGAATCAACAATGACCTGCTTTGAGGTTTTACTTCTTCAAGACAGACCTAAGGGTTTTACTTTGAATCATTACGATGACCTGCTTTGAGGTTTTACTTCTTTCAAGACGGACCTAAGGGTTTTACTTTGAATCATTACGATGACCTGCTTTGAGGTTTTACTCCTTTCAAGACAGACCTAAGGGTTTTACTTTGAATCATTACGATGACCTGCTTTGAGGTTTTACTTCTTTCAAGACAGACCTAAGGGTTTTACATTGAATCATAACGATGACCTGCTTTGAGGTTTTACTTCTTCAAGACAGACCTAAGGGTTTTACTTTGAATCATTACGATGACCTGCTTTGAGGTTTTACTTCTTTCAAGACGGACCTAAGGGTTTTACATTGAATCATAACGATGACCTGCTTTGAGGTTTAACTTCTTCAAGACAGACCTAAGGGTTTTACTTTGAATCATTACAATGACCTGCTTTGAGGTTTTACTTCTCTCAAGACAGACCTAAGGGTTTTACTTTGAATCATTACGATGACCTGCTTTGAGGTTTTACTTTCGAACAATATTAATTAAATTGTATCTAATGTTGATTTTAGACTGGTAACAAGTCAAAGACCTATTTCACCCCCCATTGAACCTGCAACCACACATATTGTGTTTAGTATTGTAACCCACTGTTTTCCCACTGAGCCACCGAGGCAAATGATGAGGGAAAGGTTCACTGAGCACATAGATTGTGACAGTGTTTGTCACCCACTGAGTCACTTGCAGTGTCGTTGCTGCACGTGCTTGGATATCGATGAGCATTAAACCAGTCCATTTTAAACAGGGGTATAGGTATCAAATAAACACAACCTGTTTGATTGATGTGTGTATCAATCAAACAAGATGTTGGTTAATGAGTCTACCTTGAATTCGGGCTTGTGAGAGTAGTAAGATTTTTAGGGAATAGGTAAAAATAGGTCTTGTGAGAGGATAAAAACTTTTGGTTGATACGTAAAAATAGGTCTGTTGGCCCTCGGTCTTACTTTTATTTACCTATCCCCCTAAGGTCTAAGTACCCCCATCGAGACCTCATTCTCGGTCGTGAACCTTGACATATGACTTAGGCCTTATAGCTGGAATGCAGCATTAATCAACAAACAAAAGAAGCACAAGGTTTGGTCCAATTTGCAGTCAAAGCCAAGTCCTTCTAATAGGTTGTGGCAGCTGAGGCACTTTCATCCAGCCTTGCAACTACTGACTTCATTGTTGAAATCCTGACACTTACATTCAGCAAGGCCAATAATCCATGCACTTTTCTTTGTGAAAGTTTCACATTTCTATGTATTCCTTGTAAATGTTGAGTTGTTTGCTTGATCAGACATATGGCATGAAATGCACAGAATCTTTTTTACAAGATTCAAACTTTGAGAAAGTATTGGCGGCTTCTGTATGTACAATATAAAATGGATCAGATGAAAATAGCTATTTTGTACTAAACACAAAAATAGGTCATCATGATGTGTATAAAATAAGATGGATAATTTCTTGCAGCAGTGTGGTATGTTTTATACAGTATCTAGTATTCCTATTGTTTTTGGGAAGAGGCATCTCCCACTCTTGGAGCTTCTACTTTCAGTGTTGGTTTCAACTACAGGTACATGGTGATAATGTAAATGTGTATACATACTGGCCCAGGGAGCTATATATTTCTAATCACAAATCTCTTAACATTATGGTCTAACTGATGATAATTTTGCATAATACTCAGTGAATAAAGAATTCTCTACATTTTGTAGTTTGTTGTTCATTGACATTCATGCTATGACATGAAAGCAGTGTAGGTGGATAGTTCTCCTAGAATGCAAATATTTGTGTGAAGCATCAGTAAAAGTCGGGGGAGATGCAAAAAGAAAGAAAAGATGGAAAAGAGAGATAACGTGGGTGATACAGAGAAGTGGGGGATATAGGGTGGGGAGAATGGGTTTAACATCGCGTCCAAGATAATTATGCTTATATAGCGACGTGCATGCACTTGTGTGTGTGGCTGCTTGTACTAGTCAGGACTGATGCCGATTTATAGTGCTAGCTCACTGAGATACCATGCCGCAGTTAGACATGAATACCCCACCCAGACACAGTATACTGACTCCTAGCCGACCAGTCCTTGTTTTAGCACCCTCATGCTGAACGCCAGACAGGGTAACAACAAATACCATCTATAAGTGTCTATTGGTATGACGCGGATGGGGAACGAACCTTGGACCTTCTGCTCTCCGGGCGGACGCTCTATCACTAGACCACGGAGGCAGTGAGATGGAGAGGAGGGAATATTGGATGAATAGATGGAGAAGAGGAGATATCAGAGGGAAAAAGGGGGGGATATAGGGTGGTGAGATGGAGAAGAAGAGATATAGGGTGGTGAGATGGAGAAGAGGGGAGATGAAGACGAGGGGATTTAGGGTGGTGAGATGGAGAAGAGAGGATATTGGATAAATAGATGAGAAGAGGGGACATAGGGTGGAGGATGGAAAAGAGGGGATATAGGGTGGTGAGATGGAGAAGATGGGATATAGGGGGGAGATGAAGATGAGGGGATATAGGGTGAGGTGATGGAGAAGAGGAGATATAGGGTGGTGAGATGGAGAAGAAGGGACATAGTGTGGGGGGATGGAAAAGAGGAGATATAAGGGGGAGATGAAGATGAGGGGGGAATATAGGGTGAGGAGATGGAGAAGAGGAGATATAGGGTGGTGAGATGGAGAAGAGGGGACATAGGGTGGGTGTGTGGAAAAAGATGAGATATAAGGGGGAGATGAAGACAAGGGGATATAGGGTGGTGAGATGGAGAAGAGGAGGTATAGGGTGGGGGGATGGGGGTGGAAAAGAGGGGATATAGGGGGAGATGAAGACGAGGGGATATAGGGTGGTGAGATGGAGAAGAGGAGGTATAGGGTGGGGATGGAGAAGAGGAGATATGGGGTGGGGGATGGAAAAGAGGGGATATAGGGTAGGGGATGGAGAAGAGGAGGTATAGGGTGGGGGATGGAAAAGAGGAGATATAGGGTAGGGGATGAAGATGAGGAGATATAGGGTGGGGGATGGAAAAGAGGAGATATAGGGTAGGGGATGGAGAAGAGGAGGTATAGGGTGGGGGATGGAAAAGAGGAGGTATAGGGTGGGGGATGGAGAAGAGGAGATATGGGGTTTGGGGATGGAAAAGAGGGGATATAGGGGGAGATGAAGACGAGGGGATATAGGGTGGTGCGATGGAGAAGAGGAAGTATAGGGTGGGGGGATGGGGGTGGAAAATAGGGGATATAGGGGGGGGAGATCAAGATGAGGGGATATAGAGTGAGGAGATGGAGAACAGGAGGTATAGGGTGGGGGATGGAGAAGAGGAGGTAAAGGTTGGGAGGTGGGTGTGGAAAAGAGGGGATATAGGGGGAGATGAAGATGAGGGGGTATAGGGTTTTGAGATGGAGAAGAGGAGGTATAGGGTGGGGGTGGGGCGTGGAAAAGCGGGGATATAGGGGGAGATGAAGACGAGGTGGTATAGGGTGGTAAGATGAAGAAGATTGGATATAGGAGGGGGGGGGAGATGGAGAAGAGGAGGTATAGGGTGGGGGATGGGGGGGGAAAAGAGGAGATATAGGGGGAGATGAAGACGAGGGGATATAGGGTGGTGAGATGGAGAAGAGGAGGTATAGGGTGGGGATGGAGAAGAGGAGATATGGGGTGGGGGATGGAAAAGAGGGGATATAGGGTAGGGGATGGAGAAGAGGAGGTATAGGGTGGGGGGATGGAAAAGAGGAGATATAGGGTAGGGGATGAAGATGAGGAGATATAGGGTGGGGGATGGAAAAGAGGAGATATAGGGTAGGGGATGGAGAAGAGGAGGTATAGGGTGGGGGATGGAAAAGAGGAGGTATAGGGTGGGGGATGGAGAAGAGGAGATATGGGGTTTGGGGATGGAAAAGAGGGGATATAGGGGGAGATGAAGACGAGGGGATATAGGGTGGTGCGATGGAGAAGAGGAAGTATAGGGTGGGGGGATGGGGGTGGAAAATAGGGGATATAGGGGGGGGAGATCAAGATGAGGGGATATAGAGTGAGGAGATGGAGAACAGGAGGTATAGGGTGGGGGATGGAGAAGAGGAGGTAAAGGTTGGGAGGTGGGTGTGGAAAAGAGGGGATATAGGGGGTGATGAAGACGAGGGGGTATATGGTTGTGAGATGGAGAAGAGGAGGTATAGGGTGGGGGTGGGGCGTGGAAAAGCGGGGATATAGGGGGAGATGAAGACGAGGTGGTATAGGGTGGTAAGATGAAGAAGATTGGATATAGGAGGGGGGGGGAGATGGAGAAGAGGAGGTATAGGGTGGGGGATGGAGAAGAGGAGGTAAAGGTTGGGAGGTGGGTGTGGAAAAGAGGGGATATAGGGGGTGATGAAGACGAGGGGGTATATGGTTGTGAGATGGAGAAGAGGAGGTATAGGGTGGGGGTGGGGCGTGGAAAAGCGGGGATATAGGGGGAGATGAAGACGAGGTGGTATAGGGTGGTAAGATGAAGAAGATTGGATATAGGAGGGGGGGGGAGATGAAGATGAGGGGGTATAGGGTGAGGGGTTGAAGAAAGGGGATATAGGGGGGAGATGATGATGGGATATAGGGTGGTGAGAGGGATGTAGGGGGGAGATAAAGACGAGGAGATATAGGGTAGGGGATGGAAAAGAAGAGATATAGGGTGGGGGATGGGGTGGAGGATGGAAAAGAGGGGATATAGGGGGAGATGAAGACGAGGGGGTATAGGGTGGTGAGATGGAGAAGAGGAGGTATAGAGTGTGGGTGGTGGAAAAGAGGGGATATAGGGGGAGATGAAGACGAGGGGGTATAGGGTGGTGAGTTGGAGAAGAGGAGGTATAGAGTGGGGGTGGTGGAAAAGAGGGGATATAGGGGGAGATGAAGACGAGGGGGTATAGGGTGGTGAGATGGAGAAGAGGAGATATGGGGGGGGGTGGAAAAGAGGGAGATAAAGACGAGGGGATTTAGTGTGGTGAGATGGAGAAGAAAGGATCTTGGATAAATAGATGAGAAGAGGGGACATAGGGTGGGGGGTGGAAAAGAGGAGATATAGGGTGGGGGATGGAAAGGGGGGATGAAGACGGGATATAGGGTTAGGAGATGAAGACGAGGGGATATAGGGTAGGGGGTGGAAAAGAGGGGATATGGGGGGAGATGAAAACAAGGGGATACGGGGGAGATGAAGACGAGGGGATATAGGGGGGGTGGGGGTGGAGAAGAGGAGATATAGGGTAGGGAGATGAAGATGAGGGAATATAGGGGGGCGAGATGAAGACGAGGGGATATAGGGTGGGAAGATGAAGACGAGGGGATATAGGGTGGGGAGATGAAGACGAGGGGATATAGGGTGGGGAGATGAAGACGAGGGGATATAGGGTGGGGAGATGAAGACGAGGGGATATAGGGTGGGGAGATGAAGATGAGGGGATATAGGGTGGGGAGATGAAGACGAGGGGATATAGGGTGGGGAGATGAAGACGAGGGGATATAGGGTGGGGAGATGAAGACGAGGGGATATAGGGTGGGGAGATGAAGACGAGGGGATATAGGGTGGGGAGATGAAGACGAGGGGATATAGGGTGGGGAGATGAAGACGAGGGGATACAGGGTGGGGAGATGAAGACGAGGGGATATAGGGTGGGGAGATGAAGACGAGGGGATATAGGGTGGGGAGATGAAGACGAGGGGATATAGGGTGGGGAGATGAAGACGAGGGGATATAGCGTGGGGAGATGGAGAAGAAGAAATATAGGGTTGGGGGATGGAAAAGAGGGGATATAGGGTGGGTGATGGAAAAGAGGGGATATAGGTGGGAGATGAAGATGAGGGGATATAGGGTGGGGAGATGAAGACGAGGGGATATAGGGTGGGGAGATGAAGACGAGGGGATATAGGGTGGGGAGATGAAGACGAGGGGATATAGGGTGGGGAGATGAAGACGAGGGGATATAGGGTGGGGAGATGAAGACGAGGGGATATAGCGTGGGGAGATGGAGAAGAAGAAATATAGGGTTGGGGGATGGAAAAGAGGGGATATAGGGTGGGTGATGGAAAAGAGGGGATATAGGTGGGAGATGAAGACGAGGGGATATAGGGTGGGAAGATGAAGACGAGGGGATATAGGGTGGGGAGATGAAGACGAGGGGATATAGGGTGGGGAGATGGAGACGAGGGGATATAGGGTGGGGAGATGAAGACGAGGGGATATAGGGTGGGGAGATGAAGACGAGGGGATATAGGGTGGGGAGATGAAGACGAGGGGATATAGGGTGGGGAGATGAAGACGAGGGGATATAGGGTGGGGAGATGAAGACGAGGGGATATAGGGTGGGGAGATGAAGACGAGGGGATATAGCGTGGGGAGATGGAGAAGAAGAAATATAGGGTTGGGGGATGGAAAAGAGGGGATATAGGGTGGGTGATGGAAAAGAGGGGATATAGGTGGGAGATGAAGATGAGGGGATATAGGGTGGGGAGATGGAGAATAGGGATGGCATATTACTTTCGACCTGTCATCTGAATAAATAGTGTACTAACTAGTTGTCTGTTTTCACTACTGTGTTTCTTCCTTACGGCAAATAATAACAGGACAACAGCAGCATCGCTGTATAGGCATCTTGTCAAATTCCAAGGCCTCTGAAAATGAGACATTAATTCATGGCGATATATTTAAACAATGAAATTTGCCCCATATGCCTGTGTCGCTTGTG